TTCTCTCTCCTCCCCTCATCACACCTAGACTCCCTCCGCATGCGCCTCCTACCCCAAGACCACCATCGCCATCACCTGCCACCGCACGCTCGGCCCGGCTATGGCTTCCGTGCACCACCGCAGCACCCTCTTCTCTCTCCTCCCCTCATCACACCTAGACTCCCTCCGCATGCGCCTCCTACCCCAAGACCACCATCGCCATCACCTGCCACCGCACGGCCCGGCTATGGCTGCCGTGCGCCACCACAGCACCCTCACTGCCCGTGTGCGCCCGCTGCCCGTGTGCGCCCCAGCCTGCCAGCGCTAAGCAGCGCTCACTCGACATTTCAGCAGCGTGGCTGCAACGCCTTGGCAGGCCAGAATCCTGAGCCCGGGCAGGGCACTTTACTTTATGGAAAGTGCGGCCCCTGTGTTTGGCTGCGTGGGCCTGGCTGGACAAATTTCCAGTAGCTTCCAGCCGGGCCCCAGTGTCTGCGCCCTGGCTCAGTTTTGCTGTTGCGGCCTGGGCCCTCTACAGTTCGGCGCGTCCAGGCAGCCCTCCAGGCTCCAAGTGTACGTGCCAGCCCTCCAGGCTCCAAGTGTTTGCCGCATTCGCATTGACTCGCGGTCCATGTGTGACGATAATGCTGCATTCTCATTGGCCTGCGGCCAGTCCGTGATGTGTCCGCCTCCCACAGCCTGTGCCCAGGGCGCGACCGCCTGAGCCCTGGGCTCAACTGTACAGCACAGCTCTTGCTTCTGGAAGGAGCCTGAAGGCTCACATTACTCTGTAATCGACTGGCGTGTGGAAAATGTCGAAAGTAGGTCTCACGTGCATATTCAGGCCCGCTTTCACTTAGCGCGGCACAAGGCTTGTTGGCGGCCGCAGCCCATAACACTTGCATGTCTGACAAGGGGCCCGTGAGGTCTCATTCCTCGCACAATGGACCGCGGAGCAGATATTAAACTGATCACAACAGATGCTGCACTTGATCTATTTTTAGCCAAAAGGCTGAGAAAGGTATATTACCTAGGCTACCATCCGGGCCGCCCGGGTCCCGGGTGGCCATCCCGTGCAAGGACCAAGGAAGGTTCCAGCAAAAAAAATAAAAAATAAAACATTTCCAAAAAATCCAAAAAAAAACCTATGTTATGCAGAAAAATAAACTACACAACTTTTGCCTCAGGGTCAGATCGAAATTCTTCACCAAATTTAAAATAAAAAATAAATTGTAAAAATATTTATTTTATTTTACTTTATTTTTATTTTTTTGGCCCGGCCGGGCAAGTGACCCCGGGCCACTCTGGTAGCCTAGTATATTACTATGTTTATTGTTTTTTGGTTTTTCTCCTCGCTTTAATCCGTTCACGGCTATTGATTCTTCATCCTCTCGCAAAAATGAGCCGTCTCTTCCTGTTTTTTTTTTTTCGTTGTTGTTGTTGTTGTTCTGGGGTTTTTCTCCTTGCTTAATTTGTTGAGTGCCTGTGGGATTTATTGATTTTTTACTTCCGAGGCCCAGGCCAAGAGGATTCAGGGCCATGAGGCCAGCCACGAGGTTGCAGAATTACCTGTTCTCTCTCTCTCTCTCTCTCTCTCTCTCTCTCTCTCTCTCTCTCTCTCTCTCTCTCTCTCTCTCACACACACACACACACACACACA